AGGCTTGAATTGGAAAATGAATTTAGGGCTCTAAATTTTAGGAATCAATATAATAAAACTATAGTTCTAGTCCTCAAGAATGTTTGCCATAAAGAAAATCATTTTGATCTCATCACAAAGTTTACCATTCACCTTATCTTAAAAATTCTAGAAGAAATCGACATGTGATCCATCAAGCTTAAAAATTCTAGAAGAAAGCAATATGTAATCCCTCAACCCCTAGTGCTTTCCAAGGTTTCATAGATAGGATGGTAGTTCATATCTCAGGATTGGTCAATGGGGATACAAGAGAGTCCTAGATCCTTTCTCAAATACTAAGGCCCTTACTAATACTACTAAAAGAGTCAGGAGAAGACTGAAAGAAAAATGGAGTGTCCAACTATTGAAAGTGTGAGAGCATAAAAGTCTTAAGTGAAAGAAGGTCAAGACACCAAATACATTCTTAGTTCTTGAGGCTCATAACTCTATTATAAGAACTCTTTTTAAGTACAGTAATATGGAATAATCTAGTATTTTTGTCCCTTTCTTGAATCCATAGAGCATGAGATTTAAGGAACCACATATCCTCTTCAAGCCTAAGTATATCTTGGTATTTCTTTATGAGGTCTTCCTCAAGTTGAAGAAGCAAAGCATTACTCTTATTTTGGAAAAACCTTTGTATGCAATCAAGCAAGCAATGATTTCCTTCTTTTACTTGTAAAATGTTCTCAAAAATGGCTAACTCAAGCTAAGAATAGCACACATCAGTGTAGTTGGAAATAAGGAGACTAGATTGGCTCTAGTTGATGAAAATGAGATCTATAAAGGATTAATATTCCATCCAAAACTTTTCAAGGTGAAAAGGTCTCTCTCTCACCCTAAGGATGCACGGATCTAGGTTAAGCACTATTGGGCAATAATCAGAGAAGATTCTAGGTAAATGATTCATATAGGCCTCAAGAAACTGTTCCTTCTAATCAAGGTTAACCCATGCTCTATCTAATCATTCTATAATAAATTGATTACTTTCTCTCATGTTCACTTATGTGAATTTAGGACCTCTAAACCAGGGTCAAGAAAAATAAGAGTTTATACAGTCAGTATAAGCCCCGATACTATACAAAGGCATTAGGCCACCTCTAAACTTCTCAAATTGCAAGGTAACACTATTAAAATCACCAATTACAATCTAGGGATCGTTGATATTTTGAGTGAATTATAACAAATTCTCCCAAAGTAAAGATTTGATTTCAAATTAAGGCCAACCATAAATTGTACAGAAGAACCAAGAAAAATTGGAGAGCAAGGGATTAATAATAACCTTAACCAAAGCATGGAAAACTTGATCCACTTTGTTTAGAATGGTGGTGGTGACTTAAGCATCACCCCAAAAAGGCCAAATACCATTTGCTAGTCCATTAGTATCAACCATTTCACACCTAGGTATACCAAGGCTTTAAGCATTGTCCATAGCTCCGGATCTAAAGACCTTAGCCTCCATAATAACAAAGATACTAAGGTTGTATTTTCTCTCAATCTCTATAGTAGACCTCTTGAATTCAAGATTAGTCACTCTATGATAGTTCCAAAAATCTATCTTCATTGTTCACACAAAGTTATTGAACGAATTCAACACCCACTTGCCCAGCTCCTAATTCCACTGGATAGTACTCGTTTGTTTGCTTTGAATTAGCATATTTACCTATAAAAAATAATAAGGCATTAGAGTTAGGATGAAGCGGGCCCTCATGAAGCATTGAACTTTTTCCTTTTGAAAATGAAATTGACAGTCTTCATGCGTTCCCTCATCAATACCTTGTTTAGAAACACATTAAATTGTGGTATAGTTGTGATTTGAGGACAAATATACTCTTCCCATATATCCCACCCATAATTGTTGTTTTCAAGCTCCATTTCACACTTTAGGTGATGCACATGCTTGAAGATTGAAGTTTTGGGTGTTGCAAGATCCATTTTGATAGTGGAATGAGGTATAGAATCGCATTTACTCTTTTTAGAGTCACAATGGACTTATTCACATCTTTTCAATTATGTCTAAATCCCATCCTTCAACTGGACTAAAATCCCTTGCCAACGAAGGTGACAAGCTTTCTTCATTGGTAGCGTTGAATTGTCCTTTTTTTACCAACAGTATGTCCTACACTCGGCTCAACATTTTGAAAGAATCAAATCCATGACCCACACCTCTAGTGGAGGAGGAAATTGTTTTCTATAGGTTCTTGACATATTGTGAAGA